GTCAGCTGAGAATCTGAAAATTCGATGTTTCACTCTTACTGCTCTTGAACTTATTTTCCCATCTAGTGAACTAATAAAAAAATATTATGTTCAATCAGACAATCCTGCAGCAAGTATGTCCATACTTGCATTTTTAGTTACATTATATTGAATACAATTAAGATATAATGAATATGCGTAAGTGAAAAATACGAAAGATTATTGGCAAAACAAAAGTGAATAATAAGTGACAAGTGATACCTAAAGAAAATCCATATTTTGTCAATATATCTGCAATAGAGACGAATCGGATGTGCTGATTCAGTCGCAATATCTTGATAAGTTAAAAACTCATTTGGACACTGAAATGAACCATCCTTATGGCACGATAAATCAAACAACTTTAAATTATGCAACAAAAGAAAAACCAAAGAAGCAACAAAAAATGAATCAATAGAAGTGAACAGTTTCAACAATCGATCAGCATTCCCGATCAGTTATTTTAGTCAAACTAGTCACCGTTCCTTAAATCCATACCACTGTTTTTCAAACTGCTATCCTTTTACACTCATTTCAGTGAATTAAAATAAAACAAGGTACTTCTGTAGGATCCATGTTCATGAAAAGAAAACCTCAGTTTCAGCCTCAGCTTAGATGTGATCCTCAACCTAGCGGTAAACCTCAGTCTATGTCACGTAGTAAGGGTTCATATTTCGCCGAGTCTCCTTTTCATAAACATGCTGATTATAAGACTACCATATAATAGTAAACGATTTGCTCATTTTCATATTATGAAGGCAATTAAATTTTCGAAGGATACGAACAATGAGCCATCAAAAACAAAAAATGCAAACCTGTGGTGGCCCAGCAACTTCACTGGCACGTCTCAAGCCGNTTATGATACCGAATGAATTCGTGTGATTCATATCTTTGTAATTGATCAAAACGTTGTTCTTTGCTGTCATATAATCAGCGATATTGTGATCCACTATCAGTCTAAATATATTACCATCCATTTCTTGAATAACCAACAATACAAACAATTCGCTCAACATCGCACAGAAAAGTTGCGAATAATCGAACAGTTACAACATTTCGTATATAAAATAATATTTCCAGGGAAATTTCTCTGACCCAACAAATTCAGTTGCATCACAATACAACGATAAAAAAGTTTACCTCAACAATCTGTTCAGAAGAGTCAAATCCATCTTTTCGTAAACTTTCTCGAGACGCGCTTCCAGCATAACGTCGCATTCACCCTCATTCGTATCCCATACATCTTGTAGATTATTTATTCCTTGGCACCTAAATTTTTTTCCTTTCTCAGCTGAACAACAAATAATCGACTGTCACTTAAACAATAACCAATACTTTATTCCGCTTCCTGGAAATTCAAACTTTTCCGTTGCATCTCCTATGCTAAACACTACAATAATGCATTAACAAGAGAGAACGAGAACATCTTCGAACCATTTATATGTTAGCAACGGTGGCGGCTCGGTA